CAAGTTGAGCAAGGGAGAGAATGAGGAATATCTGTTCAAAAACTGATTCTCCCTAGTTCTGCAGCATTGAGAATCCTTTGATTCCATCCTTCATCCAAATCATACTAAATACCATGTCTCTTAAAAGCAGTTTCCATATGCGGCTGTCTCAAAACTGGAGCCTTTGGGTTTGGACAAAGGATCAACAAACCCTTTACCTAGTTTCTACTGGTAAACTTTAGTCATGCGTCAAAACAGACTGTGTTTGATGCTGACTTCTGTTGGCCAGTTTGAGTTGCAAGTACCTTTCTGCCAGGGCTCCTCACCTCAATTATCAAAACTCAACCCTGGCTTGCCCAGGCTGACCACTCTGTTATAAACTTTTCTGGTCATTTGTTCCGTTGACCTATAGCTCTATCACTTCCCACTCCCTGTATTCTTACTTATGCACTTTTAGCCACTCCATGCTTGTAACTGACATCTGGGATTGTGGACTACTCTACTTTTCTCGGCACTAAATTTGTGGTTTTACTTCCCACACCCTCAGTGCCAGTTGAAGGAGATCTGTCTCACTCATGGTTAGAGTAAGCTTTCTAATCACAATGCCATGCACAACTATACTGCACACGCTCTCAGAGAGCCCCAGTGTTTATGTCTCCCCTTAAGCAGCGTGATGAATAACTCAAGGAAGGCAGTAGCATTATCAACCAAGTCATCATACTTTAGGAATTAACGGTCATGCATAAATGTAAGCTAAAACCCTTTTTCTATTTCAGATGAAGCTTATCTCTGCCATTTGAAACAAACCCTTTGATGTAATTACTCTCTAATTATTATGGGATTCTAATCTCATCATTGGTGCATAAAAACTGCTTTCAAATGTTCTAGAGACATGAAATAAAATATTCATATTCCGGATGACCCCAAGGAGCAGACTAAGTAGAAATGAGAGAGAGAGAGAGAGAGAGAGAGAGAGAGAGAGAGAGAGAGAGAGAGAGAGAGAGAGAATCAGTTTAGTATAAGAAAGAATATTTTCAATTCCAGAACTAACTCGTTTTAGTAGTCCGTGATATTTCTGTCACTCTGGTGAGCGTCAGTGAGTCGACAAGCACAGGGTTGAAATATCAGTGCTCAGTATCCAAAAAAATTATTTTAGTCTGGAACAAAGACTCTTCTATTTGAACGTATGAGTCTCTAGTCATGAGCCCCTCTCTGAGAATCTTGGGATACTTTTCTTTATGTTCACTTTCTGCATCATGAGCAAAACTTCCATCTGGTCTACCATTTGGTCTAGCCCGACAATCTGGAGCTCCTAAGTGCAGCTCACTGGCAGAATTGCTTTAGGTCTCTAGGGAGATTTTCCCCTGCTTCTGCTATGACTAATACCATAAGGATTTTTGCTAAATTTTCTTATTTTCATCTAACTGAAAGCTATGCTGGCTTTCTAGGGAGAGAAAGTACTTTCTGTGTGCTGGGAAAGTTTCTCCCCGACCTAACAATTTTACCTCTAGTCTTGACTTTTTCCAGGGTGCTGGCCCTCATTTATGAACACCTAGCTATAAATTTAGTTTTTTTCTAGTATTATTTTCCAAAAATTTAAATATTCATAGCATTGTGAGCATTCTTTTCTGAATAGGTTTTCTTTTCTTTGTTGGGAAGACAAGTATGTGTCTAGGAGACATACTCTGAAGTTGGGAGGATTGCAATCAAGAAGGCTAACTGAAATCGTTGGGAGGCTAACGTCTTTTCTCTTCTTAAAAAAGAAAGATTAGGCATGTTTCCCTAGAAAGAAGACAATTGATACGGATACTGAGGCTATAAAGTGTTAATAAGACGAAGGGGAAATTTTCAATTTATTTTGAAATATTAGCTTGTTCACAGTTACTAAATTTAAGTGAGTCTTTAATAATGCCATTCTTCGTGAACAATGTCTTTAATTTCACAATCTTGTCTTCATCAGACCATCTAATTCAAGTATCATATTGTTACAGAAAAACTTTCTGAGTGCTCATGCCTAATGAATAAAGCGCCTATCAATTAAAATATTAATTTAAAAAGATAATAGAGAGTTGAACAAATGATGCCTTCAAATTTCTCTCCTTCCACTGAGGGGTCTTTTCATTTTTAAAAACTCTGCGTTGAGCAAAATGTTGGGGTTAGAAGTGTGGGGAATGCAAGTTCTGAGAAACCGTTCGCCACACAAAAAGAGTAACACAGCATCGACAACAGATGCTGCGGGGATTCACCTTAGGACCAGATTTCTCTGAGCACTGAGCTCGACCTCCTGCGGCATCATGGACGGTGACTGTGAGACGCTTTTCTTAAAAACAAGGGGGCAGTGTTCATAGGCTGGCTTGGAAATGAATGAAAAAGTTATCACAAGCAGGGCATCCCTTTTTGTAAGAAATAATTTGTCTAGCTTTGATACTTAATGTGCATGAAGTTTACTGCATTGTAGATACAAGCCATAATTTAACTTCTCTAAAAGACTGGTTTTATGGCCAAGTAAATATTCAACTACCAGACATTGGGAGGGACAAGGACCAGGGAGTTGCGAAAGGTGAAGAGAGAGTTAATTGGTGTGGTTCCACCTCACCAATGTTAATTGGCTTCTGGTGGGCCAGGCTGTGCTCATGGCTATGTTAGAGCAGTTTGGTTGTTGGGTAGCATCAGTATTTGGGAGGATAGCATATGTCCTGAGAAAGTGAGTAGAAAAAGAGAAATAATTGGCATATAGAGCACAAACTTGGCTCATGCAAGATGAAAGTTGTTTTTTTTTTTTTTTAAGCTTAAAATAAAGCTCTGGGATTTCTATGCTGAAGACTGAATTAATCTTTGTAAGAGATCAAAGCTTGACACTGACAACCCCTTCTAAGGATGAATTTCATGAATATAATTCAGAGGCCCCCAACTAATATTTTTAATTTTAAATTGATTAAAATTATGCCAGAAAACATGGTTGTTGCTAATGCATATAAGAACAAGCAATAAAAATATACACTTCTTTGGGCTTGTATAAATCATTATTCATCTCAGTTTTTGGTACTCAGTACTCTTAAATGTATGCAAAGTAATACAAACTATTAAAACGTATATAAAAGGCAAATTCAAACAAACAAAACCAAGTGAAAACCTTCTCCTTAACTTGAGTAAATATGCAATAGAAAGATATTCGTGACACCAAATTCTAAAGCCAGAATCCTCAGTAAATGTTCCAAATCCAGATGCTTTTAAAACTTGACACATTAAGGAGGAAACCACCAGCATCCTGATGGAGTGTGAGCGTACCAACTTCCAACAGGATACGGATTCCTAAGACACAAACGGAGCCTCTGCCTCCTCTGAAAGGGTTCTCCCGGGGCTTCCTTCCATGCACGAACATTCTATTTCCTCAGAATCCATCTAAGGTTTACTTAAGAGCTATTGCCTTCCTCCATCCCGATCATTTTAGCTGGGTCCTCACTGGAACCACAGCGGCCTATAAGACGTTGCTAGAGTTCTTGACTAGTTCACCTTTGCCTAGCATAAAGTTGAAGTACTTTTAAAAACTCAGGATATATTATTTCTCATCCAGTCCATTCTTTACTCTGTTCCTTCCCTTCCTTTTAGATATATAAATGACACTTTATGAATCAGAACTAACTCTTCCTCATCTCATGTGCCCAGAACTTTCCCCATGCCCTTTCTTTTGATTTTTTTTTATTTTGTGAACATCTATTTTATTTCTAACATATTATTTTTATTTGATATTTAGGAATTTCACACAATGGAATTACCTGTGGGTTTTTTTTGTATTTTTATTGATTATTTGGGAATTTCATCCCAAACTCAACAGCTTCCCAGTCCTCCCAGGCTCACTCCATCAACTCTTGTGCCCTCCCTTCCCCTGACCAAAAAAAAAAAAAACCCACACCAAGCCCATTATGTATTTCCCATATGCTCATTGGATCATGCCTTCTCTTGACTGAAATGTTCTCCCCACTTTCCTATACTTCTATGCCTAAGTAGTTTCTACTTTCTCTTATCTTGGTTCTGAGCCACACTGACCTATCCCTTCTTTGGGATTCCCGAGTGTCCTGAGAATACACCAATCACAGTAGTTTTGATAGTATACTGAAATTAGCAGTTCCTAAATCTAATCCTATTTCTGACAATGAAAGACTTAAGGCATTGCCAATTTAAATTAAAATCTCATTGGATTCTAGATATTTATTCTTTTAAAAATATTCAACCACTTGAATAAAGGGAATTTAATTTTTCATTTTTTAAATCATTTGCCTCAAGAAAAATGTCTGTTCATAGGTAAAGAGCTCCGGAGCATTGTCTCAGCAGACTGGCTTACTGCCTTGAACCAAGTCAGGGCTTTGCCTACAGCAAAATGAGATTGTTCAGGCAGTAGGCTTCGTGGCACATCTCCAGGCACGTTTGAGTCCATGCTCTTTCCTGTTAGATTTGTTTAATTGTTACTGTGAGAAATAATATGATTTGTCTCAGTAATCTTAAACAAGCAGTACACTTCTGCTGCTGCATTCCTAAAGTCCTCATTATCTCATGTTTTCAGCCTGGGGGGAAACAAACAGAATCTTCTTACTCCAAAAGAAGGGTCCACATGGCCCCCTCATGCATCAACTCTCCAGAGCTATCCTGTGCCTGACATTACCTGGAGCTCTCAAAGAGCAGTCGTTTCATCTCAGCATGCCAGTATAATGCCCAGAAGACAATTTTCAAACAAAGGAAGTTTAGATTATACCAAAGATAGACAGATGGATTTCACTTATCTATTAATGATGGACTATATTTATCATGCCCTCTTTGTTTTGTATTCTATAAAGAGAATGCAATCTAAAATTAATACAGAAGAATTATTTGAAAGGTTCTGAAGGGTTTTAGAGCATCTGCATTTTCAGGAAAGGCTATTTCAGAGTAGAACACTACAGAATGTACTCTCAACGTGTCTGAGTGACTCATCCACACACTTTCCACCTCTTTTACAAAGTCCGCCGATAGGAAATATTTCTTACTTGGTGTTGTGTGTGTCGATGGTGTGGAAGAGATCATGTAGTTCTTCTCCACTGAGAACTCCATCTGCAAAATATGCTTTAAATTCCTCAAAGGACAGTTTTCCGTCATCTGAAATAAGAACACACAGAAAAGAATCAAATCACTTCAACCTCATGTGCTGGTCTACTCGTGGATTTCAAACTTAGTCCAAGTGTCCATTCTTGTTTATCTATGTATGGCACACATAATACACACACACACACATATATATATACATACATACACACATATATACACACATACATATATATATACATACATGTGTATGTATGCACACCTGGAAGGAAGGAAGGAAGGAAGGAAGGAAGGAAGGAAGGAAGGAAGGAAGGAAGGAAGAAAGGAAGGAAGGAAAAAGAGCTTGAAGTATTAAAAGGAAGAAAATTGAACATCCTTCACTGGACAAAGCACACCGATGAATACATTGATGTATGTCTTTCCTGTTTTGAGTCTTCTTGGTTGGTTTATTGCCATCACAAACATTTAACCTTTAAGAGGACATTTAGCTAACCATAGATAATGATATCTGCACAGCAGCATGAAGGGCCAAGCAGACATTTTACTTTCATGACACCAAGCCTACACAGAATCTAGCAGACCACATGTTAGGCACCAGATGCTTAACTAGTATGTTTTTGATTGAACATTTACAAAAGATATGAGTTAACACAATTTAAAAAAACTCTGTTCATCGCTGTACTCATTAAACTAGTGAGTTCTTTTAAAGCCAAACACACCTGAAACGCTAGCACTCAGGAGGTTAAGGCAGGAAAACCTAGATCCCAATGCTACAAAGTAAGGCTTTGCCTATAAGCAAACAAACTAATTAGTCAAGAAGATAAGAAACACTAGAGTGAACATGCCATTTTCTCTGTTGTTGCTGTGCTGTGCAGAAATATGACCTTGTAAACTGACTGTGGGATATTTCCTATGGTGACCCTTTCATAGTTTTCGGGCAGGTTGAGTCAGGTGCACCAGTTCAATTAGAACCGTGGGTGAGGCCGGCCTCTGAGGTATGCTTTAGAACTAGGGGAAAAGATTTCAAGCAGTGATCCATGTTCTATAAAATAAAAGCTTTGGCTAGCAAGTGCCCTGATAAAAAAGAAAGAAAGAAAAAGAGAGAGAGAGAGAGAAAGAAAGACAAAAAGATCTCCTGTTGGCAAAAAAACATATAGAATAAGAGAATGTAAGCATTAAAATGCAGCCCTGGCTTGAGGAGGGGAAAGTATGTGTTGAAAGCTGTTTTTATCACATGCAGGATTCTTGAACGTCCTCATGACAGGCTGCCACACTGTAAAACAAGCAATTGCAAAGAATCCCTTTCGAGTAGTTCTAGACTAGTACTAAAACTTTAAACAAAAGCTTAATAGAAAGGGTGAAAAATCCCCTGTGTGATTCAGTATTAATAAGGCAATTATATTTTATTAATATATTTTATTTCAACTTCAGTATTTCTGCTGAAATCTTCTTTTGAAGTGGAGAAAAACAGTAAGAACTTGGCTCCAATTAGCTTGGCTCACGAAATAGGCATGCCTTCAGAGGCCACCTTCCTCCAGTGACAAGGCTTCACTTTTACCACCAGGGCACACAGCCTTCTCAACTTTGCTTTTAGAATTATGTTCTTCATCTCAGCTTTGATGTGGGAGTGATTTCTTATTAATAAAAAAACTGCCTGGGCCCCTTGATAGGCCAACCCTTAGGTGGGTGGAGTAAACAAAACAGAATGCTGGGAGAAAGAAGCTGAGTCAAGGAGTCGCCATGATTCTCCTACCGGACACAGACACAGGTTAAGATCTTCCCTGGTAAGACACCTCGTGGTGTTACAGGGATATTAGAAATGGGTTAGATCGATATGTAAGAGCTAGCCAATAAGAGGCTTGGAACTAATGGGCCAGGCAGTGTTTAAAAGAATACAGTTTCCATGTAATTATTTCGGGGCATAAGCTAGCCATGCGGGTGGCCGGGTGCCGTGGATGCAGCCTCGCCGTTCCTACTACAACACAGCTTGTCCTGAACATTTTGACCTTCTCGGCTTCATTTATTTTAATTTTTATTTGAATTTGTCCTTTGGCATCTTTACACGTGCATATAGTGAATTCTGATTTTTCTCATTCCAACTGTCTCCCATCTTTTCTCTCCCCTACCAAACTCCCTCTTCCTGGGAACTTTCTTTCTGACATTTATGTCTTCTCATTTTGTTCGTGTCCCTCTGGGTTTTGCCAGGACCATCTGTGTAACTTTGGGATTGGAACTATCCAATGGAGTCTGGTGAGTACACAGTGGTCACACAATGGAAGACAGTGGCTATCAGTGGCCCACAATTCAGCAGTAAGGAGTACGGGCCCCGGAAGCCCCTCCCCAGCACATGACTGACAGCTGAGAATTGCCTTGTGCAGGCCCAGAGCAGGTGATCTCAACTGCTGGGAGTTAGGACCACACTGTGAGTGCTGTGTCTAGAGGTTGGGACTTTGCTGCCCTTCCACTATCTTTTCTCCTCTTATGTTCTTTTCATCCCCTCTTCTGCCCCGTTCCAGGAGCCTTGCAAGAATTAGGATAAATGGCATGCTTAGGGCCAAGCCCTATTTCTGTTCTCAGCATGTTGGGCAGCAGCGAAGTCTATGCATTCACTGCCATTCCCTGCATGTAAAAGCTTCTCTTATTAGACTTGGGAGTATAAACAGACATTTTGAAGGCACATTGACACTTTGTCTATTTAGCTAACTGTCGGTAGTATTTTCCTTCATATGATCTATGAACTTCTAAGACATGGGCTTTCCTTATTTATTAGCATGTCTCATACACTCTATTTTGATCATACTTTCTCCTCCCCCAACTTGTCTCAGATCCTCCCTACTCTACCTACCTGCAAGACTTCGCTTTCTCTCAAAAACCCAGAAAAAAGTGAGAATAAAAAACAAACAAAAAAGCCAAACAATAACAAAAAGTTCACAAAAAATGTAGAGGTTTTCATTGTTGTTGTTTGTTGGGTGTTGTTGTTGTTGACGTTGTGTGTGTGTGTGTGTGTGTGCGCGCGCGTGTTGACCAGCTGTTGGGGACCATCTCAGCAATACTGTATTGGAGAAAACTCATTTTGCCTCTGCCAGTGGCTATCGTTTGCAAATAGCTACTTGGTTAGGGGAAGGACCCTATGTCTACTTCCTCCTTGGTGCTGGGACCCCATCTGACTCATGTCCATGTTCTTGTGTATGCTACAACAGTGCTGTGAGCTCATACATGCAGCCTTGTTCTGGAATACACTGATTTACTGGAGCCACCCATCGGGTCTGATAGCTACAGTCTTTGCCGCCCAACATGTGCGGATCTTCCTCCCTTCCACAAGATTCTTTATATCATAGCCAGTTAATGCATTTAAAATTTCAAGGTACCAATAGTATGTAGAAAGTTCCCATGTACCCAACACCCCAACTTCTGATACTATTACTATCTTACATTACTATGAAATGTTTGTTTCAATTAATGAACCAGTGTTAATACATTAATTTTAGCTAAAGGCTGTACTTCATTCTGACTTCTTTAGTTTCTTTCTAATGTTTTCTTCCTACCCCAGGGTTCCACCCAAGGTAGACTGTTCCATTCTGATATCCTTAAGCTTCACTTAGCAGGAAATGTATCATACGTTCCTTGATATTGACAATCTTTTTCATTCCATTTATTTACTACATGCCAATTCCCATTCCCCCTGTGTCCTCTCCTCCCACTCCACATTGGTAATCCTAACAGCTTAGGGAACACCAGGTCTGCTACTTTGGAGAAAACCCTTTCTTGGGGTTATTCTGATGTTCTCCCGTGACTGAATGAGGAGTGTTTGTTTGAGGAAAGAGGACCACGCGGTACAGTACTATCATGTCATTTCAAGATGTTATTATATGCTATAAATTATAATACAAAGACACTCAATTTATTTCATTGCCATTTTATTTAAATTACTCTATTTTATTCATTGGCTCCTTTGTGCTGTATTTTTTGTTGTTGTTCTTTCTCACCTTCGATGCATTTTGTGGTCTTAATCAGTACTTTGTATAATTTTATAGATTTCTATTTAATTTCTTCCTTTAACAAACCTATTATGCTGCATTCTTTTCCTCACAATTTTATTGAGACTATAAATATTTTATAATATTTACTCATGTAAGTTTGCAATATGTGTTTCTGTTTATTTTTGAGCTCTTGGGGCTGTGTCTGGCTCTCCAGCTCAGGCTGGCCTCCAGCTTCCTGTGTAGCTAATGTTGGTCTTGTCTTCCATTGCCTGAACCCTTTGAATCCGGCATTAGAGTTTCGCCACACCACATCTAGCTCACCATTTACATCACAGGTTTTTTTTTCTTTCCACTGAGAGTGTTCTTCTGTTTCCTGTTTTCTTTCTTAAATCCTTCTTTGATAAGGTCCTACAACGTATCGTTGTCAGTTTCACCACCTCCCTCAACTCCTCCCTGATCCACCCCTCTTCCCTACTCACCCACCCACATTTGTCTAATTCTTTTCTCCTTGTATTCTGTCTTTTCTGGTTTGTACTTCCCATGTCTTCTTGGACTTATGGATTTCCATGGGAGCATGGTCAACTTACCAGGAACCACACAGGAACCATTTTTAAAAAAATGGACTCTCCTTGTCCTAGCAGCTTTCGGTTGTCTGCAGCTTTTTGTCTAGGAGTGGGATTCATGCCCATCTCTCCTCACCACCTGAGGTTTCTGTCCGGCTTGAACTTGTGGATGCCGTCACAACTGCTGTGGGTTTATCTCTGCAACTGCCCTGCTGTTTGGGGAAACCCTGCTCTACTGCAGGCATCCGCCACCTCTAGCTCTACAGTCTTTCTGCTGGTCCTGTGCCATCGTCTGTGAGTGTTGGCCCGAGGGAATGTGATACAGACATCCCATTTAGAGAAAAGCATTCTGAAATCTCCTGTTCTCTGCTACTTGACCAGTGTAGCTTTCTGTGACAATCTCTATCCTGGTTAGTTTTATGTCAGCTTGACACAGACTAAAGTAATGGTTCTCAACTTGTTGATAGCTCTATCAGCAGAGCTATCTCCTAGCCTTCAAGAATTTTTACTA